AGGGAGAGGGAGAGGGAGAGGGAGAGGGAGACGGAGGAGAGATACATCCATTTGTGATCTTCCCCAGGCACCCTGACCCGGGATCAAACTGGTGACCTTTAGGTGTACAGCACGATGCTCTAACCAACTGAACCACACTGGCCAGGGTTGGATTTTATTTTTAACATAAGAGTAAGCCCATTGAAGAGGTAAGAAACTAGTAGAATTGATTTACTTTTAAAAGATCACTCTGGAAGCAGAGTGGCAAGAACAGAAAGTGCTTCAATCCTGAAAGTTCTAAGAGATTGAATGTCCCTTTATCAGGAAAGATATACTGAGTGGAGGCTTAGCCACTAGGTGGTGATGGCCAATGTGAAGAGTCTGATGTTTCAGACACAATACATAGGGACAATCAGAGCAAAGGGAAAAGCAAACCTACAAAAGAGGAAACATTAACAAGTGTAAACTGCTCCAAAATACATTTTTATCAATCTGACTGAGTTATTTGACTAAATAAGGGATTTATTTATGCCCTTACGTTTCCACCATTATTTAAATTACAAAGCTAAAGATTTAGCTTCATAATTCCTTCAACTACATTTCAAACAAAGAGAATCCTATTTACAACTTGAAAATGTTATGTTCAACTGACCTAACCTGCAAGCCCAATATTTTTAGCTATATTAACAAGTCCAAAGGAAAGTCTGAAGCTGCTTTTATTTCACTGGAATATATTGTTCATTTCAAACAAAATATGGATAATAATAAATTTTTACAGAAATATAGCAATAAAGATTATTCTAATAAAAATATTTATATTTTAAAGCCACTAAAATGCAAATTATGCTATTTCATCAACTACATAATCATTTTCAAGCCTTTATCTTAAAATCTGAATAGTATCCTATAGGTTACTCTGAGCTCTTTCATTTGCGAGCATTCTTGCCACTTTCCCTGGTATGAAGACAATAGGTCACGTTATTTTAACCTCAGTGCTGTTGCCTTTCTTAAAGAAGAAAGATAAATAGACGTAATGCCAAAGTTTCTATCAAATGTGGGAAAATGTGGCTCCACTTTGCTCAATTATCTTTATCCATTTGGTCCCTCTATGCACTTTGAGTTTGCATGGCATTTAAAAAAAAAAAGTGTGAAGTATTTTCTAGGCCTAGCTGATTAGCTTTGAGATCATATAATGATATTCTTGATATTCTTATCGTAAAATGGAATATTTAGTAGTTATGATAATATCAATTATCCCAAACAACAAAACATATCTACTAGAAAAATCAACACAAATTCATAGCATTTAATATTTACACTCAATATACCTTTAAGTTTAATGTTTAAATTCAATATACGGTTTTGAAAAAGAAAAGTTACCTTTCAAGAGGTGATTCAGGTCCATTGTGTCACGTAAGGCTTTTTGTTTATATCTGTGGTCTAAATTGGAATCCAACACTGAAGACTTCGAGGTGAGATTGAACCCATGTTTTTCTTTCCCTTTGGCCGATTTCAAATTATTTTTTAAATCCTCAACATTTCCATACACTTCTTCACTCACGTTTTCTTGCTTTTTAACCTTTACTTTTTGATCGTTTGATGCGCTCAGTTCAAAAGACTGAACAGGGCTGATGTCTGGGGTTGATAAAGGAGTAACATCTGTCACAGTATCTTCAGATTCCTCAGTGTAGTCACCGACTTTTGGTTTAGTACTTGAAGGCTGTGTTCCTGTTTTTGTTCCTAGTTTATATTTCTGTTTTGGAGACAAGTGGGTTACATCAGAGAGATGTTTCTTTAATGATGAAGAATCAGGTGTACAATTATCAGAGTCTGTACCTGAACAATCTGCACCTGAGCTTGAAGATGAGGCCAAAGAGGAAGAGGAACTGCTTTTGGAATACTTTTTACTTATGCCTTTTTTAATGTTACTGGATGGTTTAGCTGACTTGGACCTGACATGATGTTTCTTCCCATCATCACTGCTTTCCTCTCCATCTGTATAGTAATCATCTTCACCTGCCTTTCCCATTTTGGGAATTCTATTTGGAATGGTTACGTGTATTTTATGTCCTGTTGTAGCATCACACAATTTTCCTGATCCTGAAGAAGTGCTCAATGATAAAGAATTTCTGGTTTGTGTATCATCATTTTCTATATGGTGTTCTTCTGGAAGAGTTTCCTCTTTTCTTTCATTTCCTTTCTCAGTAAGATCATTTTCTTTTCTCTGCATTCCAAGTTTTGAGTTTACATTTTCCGCATCTTTGTCTGTTCTCTCTTTAGGGTTATCATTTTGCTTGTCAAAAACTGAGTTACTTTCACTTTTCTTTGCTTCTTCAAAGTCACTGTCAAAGAAAGAATGGTCCACTTCACCTTCTGATATATCTCCAAACCGATCCATAATGGCAAAAATATATCTGAAAACAGGAAAATGTAACCATCAGAGTAATTTTTGAGTACTTTTTATTTTTATATAGTAATTCATAGTTTTTCCAAACTGAGAAGATTGGGTAACATATCAAGAGAAACATGACCCCCAAAAAAACAATAACCCAGCGAAGTGATGATGGAGCTATAGGAGCAATTACAAGTTGTGCCAATGATTTGAAAAATACGTCTAATAGTTCAGTTCACAAGAAAATCAAAATGGATCATATCAAGGCAGGCATATTACAAACATGGAAATTTAGGTGAACCCTAAGGAAAATCTGCCTTCTATAATTAAGTACAATTAGAGTGTAGAATAAGCTAAACCAGCCCACACATCATTTTAGTGAAAGCTGTCAGTGACGTTGGACAAACTTCGCCATTTCCGTACTTGTCTTTGCCCTATTCTGCTCCATCATTGCAGTGCTGACGCAGCAGCAGCAGAGAGGAGATGGCTCCTATGAAAAGTAAAGGCTGCCTCTATCCCCCCTTAAAGAGAAACTAACACTCTAAGGCACACACAGGCTGTACAGGTAGCTCGGAGGCAAACCTCTAAAAATTTAATCACAAACTGTGACATAACCACATATGGAAGATGACGAAGAGTATGTTATGTCTCACTGTGTTAGAGGGAATCGGTATAAGACATTTTATAGTAGATAGGCTGTCTAAAATGGATAAATGAAAGGATATTATTTAGATATATGGAATTAAATATTGGAAGAAATGGATAAAAGTGTTCAAAGTAGTTGCCTCTAGCATGGTTCAGGGACCACTGTTTTGGTTATAGACCTTAAATTACCAGCTGACTTGTTGATTTAAAAATTCTTTAATACTTTATACAGTTGGAATTAAATTGGAAACAGCACTATAAAGTCATAGCCTTTAAAAAATATTTCTCATTCTTATTGGTCTTAGTAACAGTGCCACAATTTCTATTACTAATAATCTTGAATTGAGAGTGTGACCTCTATCTAATAATATTCACCACTAGAAAATTAATTAATTAAAAAAAAAATCAGGACCTTGGAAGACAGCTGATTCCATTTCTGGAACCGGGGAGGAGGGGACCCAAGAAGGGCCTGGAATATCTTACTATTGCCAGAAAGCGCAATGTTCAAACAGGCCTGAGAGAGTGGGAATAAAACAAAGGATCCAGTTTCAAAGGCGCTTTCACTGTACAAGCCGGACAATAGTGAAAACCAAAACACAGAACACACACAAAAAATGAAAAAGTAATTCTGTGGAAAGTCATGAGTTCAAACTGATATTCAGAAGGGGCAAGTAGTGAGTTATATTAAAGGAAAAGAATATATACATTTATAGTAACAATATATAGCTAACAATCCAATTATGTGCTCATTATATTCAATTTGATTAATTCCATTATATCCAATCAACCAATAAAAGGTTATATAATCTGTATCCTGAATCAGCCCTGATACTCTGCAGCCTGTAATTGTTTAAGTGACCTGGTAACTTATAAAAACAAGTATGAACATGATTTTAAAATTAATCGAAACTTGAACTATTAATACTAACGAGGTAACTTAAACATGATTAATGACCTCTTTGTTTTAAAATTTTAAGTGACAGAAGGAAAACTCCTCCCAAAATTCTCATAGTATACTCTCAAGTAATTTATAAACACTGAAACTTGTCTCTTAAAGGCATTTGGCAATTAATTTTTAGAGCCACAAAAAAGCCAACCTTTTGAATCAGTACCTTCATTTCTGGAAATTTATCCTAAGAAAATAATTTTAAAAAGAAATATTATTAATTATAGCAGTTTGTAACATTGAAAACACTTGAATAGAGGAATATTATGATTCCATTAAAATAATTATCGGGGGTCAGCAAACTACTACGCATAGGCCAAATCTGGCCTGATAATTGTTTTGGTAAATGAAGTTTTATTGGAATACAGCCTGAAAAGGGTTCCCAGACCAAATTCCAATGTGGGAGAGGCTTCCCCACACCAAAAACAATTCTCAGACATCAACAGGGTGTCTGAGAATTCGACTCAATGATACTATCTACATCGGATTCCACAGAAAAAGGGCTCAGTCCCTCAAGACCACCTCCACTTGAGGCCCCAGTTGCCAACCCAGTGTGTTACCTGTGCTTTCTGACTAACCAGCTACAAGCTGGAGGTTCCAAGTGAGACAAAGCCGTAAGCCAGGACAAGAACAGGGAAACAAACAGAAGGTTAAACAAGCAGTTTGCAGCCATCTAGTAAATCCTATCTTCCCTAAACCAAGGACACTTAAGAGTATGTAAATAGTTAGCACTTCTCCTCCCCAACCACAGGATAAATAGCTTAAATTACCCACTTAAGGAAATAGCAGAAATTCAATTAGTGTTATTTGCCAACCATACTCGAGGACAGATGAAGTTAAGGGACTAAATCTCATTCTGGCACATCAGCAAAAAACTGATGAATATTCTATTGAGATCCTCCCCTAAACGCCCAGCCTTTAAAAGCCCTCAAAAGCAGCACCCTCCCTCCCAGTAGCACACCCAAGCCTCTCCCCTTCCCTGCTTCTTCCCCCTCAGGCAGAAGGACCCCCATGAGGCTTGCAACCAGGGCAGCAACGAGCAATGGCAGTTTGTCCCGGACAAACCCCCAGAACCTGTCTCCAGGGCCCTCTTTTCTCCGACTTAGTGAGCCAAAGCAGCCCAGCCTAGGCTCATTTTCCCTTCTAGTCACTCTCCTGTTATCCTAGGCCCTTCCCTGTCTCACTGTTCCCAGTTTTAATAAACGTTCTCTAGAAATCCTGTAGACTCATCTTGTGGAAATCTTTCCTGCATGAAGTCAAGAACCCATACAGTACCAGTCAGCCCTGGGCAGACCCACTCAGGGCCAGGTTCCCTTTCTGGTAATACAAGGATCCTCTCCAACTCAGGGTGCCAATCATAAATCCAGGTTGTTGCCTGTACTTCTGACTGACTGGCTATAAATCAGAGGTTCCCACAACCAGCCCTTGGGCTTGATTTGCTAGAAGAGTTCACAGAACTCAAGAAAATCTATTTACTCACATTAACAGCCAGATGAAGAGATACAAAGCAGGATGAGGTCCAGCATAAAAAGGAGCTTCTGTCCCAGTGAAAGCTCTCTGAAATAAGAACCAACCAGCTGTCGTGTCTGTGGTCCCCCTCCTCCCCCCCTTTTTTTACAGAGGCTTCATTGCATAGTCATGACTGACTAAGTTCTTGGCCATTGGCAATTCAATCTCTACCCTTACCCCCAGAGGAAGGGGACTGGGGGTGAGACTGAAAGTTCCTAACCTCTAATGTGATTGGTTATCCTGGAAACCAGTCCCCACCCTTGGGTGGAGTCCAAAAGTCATCTCATTAACATAACAAGAACACCATAACCACTTTCAACCCCTGGGAAATTCCAAGGGTTTTGGAAGGTGTTAGCCAGAAACTAGATGAGGATCAGATATCTTATAAATCACAATCCCATACAGCCTCACTCCAGGGTTTAGGTATTGTCTCTGACAGCTTTCTCACTACCACTGCAGAGTTGTGTAGTTGTGACAGAGACCCTATGGCTCACAAAGCCTAAAATATTTACCAACTGACTCTTCGCTGAAAAAAAGTTTGTGGATTCATGATTTACGTGATACATCAGCATGAAAAACGCAGTAAACAAAATTCTTACCCATACTGGATTAATACAATTTACACATTTAAACAAAAACTAGAAGGAAAAAAAAGGGCAAAAATTAAGAGTTGACCCGCTAGGAGACAAATCAGCAATCCCACCATGTATTTTATATTTCCATTACTGTTATAATAGGGTCTATTCAACAAATTAAGCAAATAAATGATGACTGGGAGTCTACACAGTGAAAAAGAATGAACTGGACCTGCGATTCCCGGTTGTGTTCCTAGGTACGTGTACAAGGATGGTCATGACTGATATACTATACACCAGTCAAAAAGGATGAGCTGAGATCTACAAAATAATGTTTACTAAAAGAGCAGAATTAAACAATACAATTATGAAAAACTTAAAACACACATAATACTAAGTTCTTCATGGGCACAAACATAAAGTGACAGAGCATGGACTGGAAGGGCATATATTAAATATCTAAGAGTATGAGAAATAAAAGAGTTGTGATTATGTTTTCCTTTCTCACTTTGTTACATGGTTAAGAATACCTCTGAAGTAAAATTTTTTATAAGTTTTATGAGCCTTTGAGGGGAGAGAAGGAATAAGGGTGGGAAAAAGGGATAAAGAGGAAAAATTAAGAACCTGAGTAAAGGACTGTGGGACTGTGATCGTGGGTCATCACCAACTTAAAGAGTATGTACGACTGATGATTGTCAATCCACGTCTGCTGCCTGAATTCACAAAGAAAAACAAATCAAAAGGGCCACTGAATGGTGAACACCTCTTATAAACGTTGTTACTAAATTCCTCCCCAAAAGTTACCCTTTTTTGGTAAAATAATACACCCTGTAATTCAAAAAATCAAGGGCTGATATAAGAGTTGTGATTATTTTTTCCTTTCTCACTTTGTTACATGGTTAAGAATACCTTTGAAATAAAATTTTTTATAAGTTTCTTCAATTTTAAAAGCAAATGGTTTCACAGCACACCCCTGAACTTCTTGAATGAAGCAGCTGGTTCTGGGGGCTATGGTGAAGAGTCTAAAATGTAAATCATGATTAAGGGTTTACAGAACAGGCTAATAGCTAGTAAAAGTAACGACAAAGGATGTATTCAGATACTTAGTACTGAATGAAAAAAGATTTTAGAGCTGTTACTTGTAGTTCCAGAGGTAGAATTGGCATCAACAGATGGAGTGCATATGAAAGCCACTCTGAGTTTGAACGTTAGGACTGCTCAATAATGGACTGGGCTACTTTCTAAGATGAGGAGCCATGAGTCACTAGATAATGTTGGGGAAAAGACTGAATATCCACTTGCTGGAATGCTGTAGAGGGAATTCATGCATTAGGATATGCTCTTTCCCTCCCCTAAGATTATATGAAGTAGGTCTAACTGCCAAAGTCAAATGATTAGGTACTTCTTTGAAATTCCAGTTTTTCATATCTAACAGTTCCCTGCCTTGCTGTCCCCTTACCAGACTGGGTACTCCTCACAGCTCATCTTTATATTCCCACTGCCTAAAGCAGGATATGACAAATATTATTCAAACTATGTTTATCTGATGGACTTTGGAGACTTAAGACTGAGTGCTGGTTCTGCTCTTTGATATGTAAGCAGAAAAGTCACCTCTTTTCCCTGAGCTAGTTTCCCGGATGGTTCCCCACATCACACTACCCGGCTCCAATGCACTGACAAGGTCTGTGCAGTCCCGCACAGATGTAAGCAGGCATCTCCCTGGGTGGCCACAGTGCGTGAGAGCTGGCGCACAGGCAAGCCTGGGAAACTTTTCAGGTTTAAATTTGCGTTGATAATATCCAACAGATACCGTTAATTTAAGGATTTAAACTAGCTCAGATGATTTAACTTAACTTACGGGAAAATTACCCAAACAATCCCATCCACTAAGCAATCCATCCTTTTGATAATATTTACTTCAAAGATAGTGAGATTTCCATTTATATTAGAGAATGTAAAAAAATACAGCATGGACTTAAAACAGTAACGATTCTCTTTACAACATATTGGGAAAGGGTAAAAAATTAAACGGTAGCTCATCAGACCTAAGCGACCCTTGCGTGGTGCTCAATGAAGACAGGTGTTTGCCAAAGCAGCCTGGGACACTCACCATCAGCACAGCTCCCAGTCAGCAGGAGAAAGGCTAACGCTCTCAAGGCTCATCAGGAGAAAGCACAAATCAGAATCTGGCATTTTTCAAACTCATTTTGCTACTGTGACATTACGTTTCTGTGGTCAGATATATAATACGGTCCAAAGAGGGTAACCGATCGCCCGCACGAAGCCCTAGGCCCAAAGTAAACAAGTCAACATCGGTGTTTCAGGAACTGAAGCTCCGTTCAGCACCGCTCCCGGCCCGCGAGGTGGCGGAGGGTAACCGACAGCCCCCCACGCCTCGGGTTCAGGTGCAAGTCCGCGGAGGTGGGCGGGGGAGACCTGAGTCC